CAGCTGCCCTTGGGTCAAAATGACCCTCCAGGCTTTAGTCTTTACACTGAGGCCTCATGGGTCATTAAGACTCAAGTGCAGATAAAAATGGTTAAACAGCTGCTTTTTTTATTTTTAATTTTGCAAGTATTTCCGTTATAGAGTTGCTCTTTGTATGTATGATAAATTAACACTTGACTTGTCCAGTTGCTACGACAAGCAGGAGCCCAGCTGAGTTAACTAAGAGGTCAAATTAATGTCGGTAATCATGTTAACTGTTGTGCAATTGCAAAAGTGTCTTCAGCGCCTGTCCCTTCCTTCCTCTCCTCCCTCTCTGCACTCAGCTGAACAAATGAAGCATCAGTCTTGTTGCTTCTCCCCTCATTGCTTTGGTGTCTTTTCACTCGAGCACACATTTAAGGTTCTCCAAGCTGAACTTGTTAACTCATATTTGTGCCGTTCCAGAGGCCGTAGTGTGCATGTGCATGAGGCGAGGATGGGRCAACAACTGTCCGTGGTAGAAGACGTGGAAGAGGCAGCGGAGGTGCTGTCAACAATCAGTGGTAAGCTTTGTGCTTTGGATTTGTTTAGCGTTTTCTTCACTTTGTGTGTCAAATGAAACCTTGTTGTGCGTCATGCCTCTAACTGGTTTTATATTGTATCAATTTTGGATGGGCTAAAATCAAATTCATGAACTGGAACTTTAATCGCCACCTTATCCACTTATTTTGACAGGTACTATCTGACTATCCAGCACATTTGTTAACKAGTGTCCTGATAAATGTTACAGACTTTTCAGGAGTTTTTAGAAGTTCTGTTAGGTAATACGTTTAAAACTATGACGAAAAACTGTTTCATGAAATGACAAAAACAGCCTGTAAGGATAAAATATAGTTTGTGTTGTATCCCCGCTTTAATAGTTCAGTTTTGATTGGGACAGCACAGAGCCTAAAACCAATTCCTCTGAGGGGATAATAATAGTTTTCATATTGCATCTGTTCATAATATCATATTATATTCTATTGTATGTCATAACATCAAGTATTCATTGTTTTAAAACAGCATATTGCTTTGTATCATTTTGTATTGCATTGTACTGCAGCATATCTGAAAGTAGTTGGGTTGTAACAATACATCGACCCACGTCAGTATATTGATTTAAATAATTAATGATTCAATACATCAAGGCAAAATGACATCACTGATGCATATCATCATCATATGTCCAATGTCGATTGATATCTTATCGATCACAGACTTGTGAATTGAATTAAATCAACATCTTATTATGACAGACTTTATATCAAGAAACATTGTATCGTCATCCTAACAAATCAATATATTATCGTTTTGTGATAAAACTGTTGATTTACATCCCTAATAGTAGCATATTATTTAGTATTGTTTGGTTTGTATCCCAATAATATACGTTGAGAAAGAGAGAGAGCGAGAGAGAGAGAGAGAGAGAGAGAGAGAGAGAGAGAAAATGGAGGCAAGGACAACTGTGTGCAAAGCCCCACAATCCAGCTCTGGCTTGGCCACATGGCAAATCTAGATTAACGGGATAATCAGAAGCAG